CCTTTCGTGCTTGGGGCAAGATCAACAAACCTTTACTTGTATATTCTGACAAAAGAGAACACAGACTAGTTCCATAGAAAGGTCTACAATAAGTTGCCAAAAAAGTATTTGGTATGAGTTAACTGGCTTTGAGAGAGCACCAACAAAATTCATTATATAATTTTCTCTGGAAGTACAACTCTTGTATACAGATAGGCTTCCAAATCATTTAACATGTTGGGTAATTATACATAATAACTTCGCATAACTGATCAAGATGATTTTGGTATCGATGGATTCCTTCCCCTCTCTAGTATCAAAAAATATAGAAATTATGCCACAGAAACAGAAACCCCCACAAAACGCAACATTCTTGGGCCCAATAGCAGGGCAGAGCTATTCATATTTTACCCCGTTACATGCAATAAAATCTACAATTTGCATTGTAGAGGGTAAGAGGAATTATCTCGATCCAATTGGCAGAACTTTTTTAGAAAATTAACCCAAAATTGTTGCAATCAGTTATGCGACGGTATTCTGTAAAATGACCTCAAGTCATTCATGGGATATATGTTACAGTATTTTTTCTTGAAAGGAAATATGCAACATTGCAGGAAGCACGCAAAACTGGTTCAACATCTGGATGGTAATAAAATCTTCTGAATAAGCTGTAAGGTATTTGTTACTGCATGCGCACCCTCCAGAAACAAAGTCTCAAGCCCAGGGTACCTATGCGAACCCAAAAAACCAAAGCTAGCCTTTCCTACCATCTTTATATTCCCCCTGTATCCCCTCCTCATATTAGCAATGCCTGCCAACTTGTAGAAACATAGGCATTAATGATATATTCAGAACGTATCATCAAACGAGTTGGACAAGATGGATGAGATGTTTCGACTCTACAGAACCCCTATTTTGGCATCCTAGACAAGTTGTTCACCTTGTTCTTTCTCAGCCGGACAAGATGATATCACAATAGAATTTGTATGTAAACAATGACAGTTGCAGGCAACCATAATATATTGTTAGGTAATTTCATGGTCCTTCAGTGGGTAATTTTCTATATTACCTTCACCTCTCTGATATCGCCGATTTTGGTATCTTTAGATTCCTCTCACTCTGTACAATCCAAATATGTAGGCTTTATTGCGCGGAAACCCCCCCGTTAACGGCAAACTTGGTCCCGATAACAGTGGCGACGATGTCGGAGCGGTGGATGTAATATAGAAAATTACCCTAATAATATAACCCACAGTGAAAATAACCATGGTTATTCACATGATTTTCCATTGCTGCCGCCCCCAAACCCCCGCCGAGGAAACAAAATATCCCCCACGTATTCACGGCAGGATAGAGCGCACATGAACTAGATGCATCGAGAAAGGCGCAAAACCCGCCGAGCCGATGATGGCGGGCCACCGCCGCTCTTCTGTTCATGGTATACTTTGTTCATCCTGATTATACTACAATCGTCTCTGTATAGAATGCTGACTATGTCAAGGTTAGTATGCTGATTCAGTGGGAATGTTACGAGGTAAATGTAACACGTCCGCCGCTCCGAGATCGCAGATAACTATGTAACGCTCTAGCCTGCCGGGAATACGTAGTGGAGGTTTTGTTTCCTCGGCAGGGGTTGGGAGGTGGCAGCCCACCCCAGGAGGGGGTCGCAATGGAAAGTCATGTGAATAACCATGGTTATTTTCACTGTGGGTTATAATATTAGTGTTATTTATCCCTGCATTTTCCCTGGAACCTTTCATTCCTTCCTCTGCTATCTGGGCCAAGTTTGTTGCTAACGGGGGGGGTTTCCGCACAATAAAAACTATAAATTTGCAATGTGGACAGTGAGAGCAATCCAACGATACCAAAATCGTCGATATCGGAGAGGCGAAGGTAATATAGAAAATTACACAAGGTATTTTTGTGTTTGTCTGTTGCAGGTAAGTTATCTGTTTATCTGAGTAGTTACAAAAACTATGCAGTGTGTAAAATAAGGACACTAGTATGATAAAATACTAAATGTTGACTTTCAGACTGGTTGCATTGTGGGCAATATAGGCCTTGGATGTTCCAAACGTGGCCTTGTTGTCCTGCTGGTCCTGACAAGTTGTCTGGACAACCAAGTCACGGAGTTCCAAGTGAAGCATAAGAACTCTGGCTGTGTGAGGGTGGTGTGAACATATTTTTGTCATTTCGCAGTAAATATGGAGCAGCAGCAGCTGTACCTGTGTTGTTTAAAACTCTATTTCTTATGCTATAAGATGTCAGTGTCCATTTCTTTCTATCTCTGTGCATTGTTCTCAGTAACATTATCCCATGCATTTGTACATTTTATGATACAAAAATTAAGAAATGAGTGCCACTTGTCCAAAGCATGATAATGACATTGATATGAAACTGACCGCCAGATGTTGAGAAGGCAACCATAGTCGCTCTTAAAAGCAAGGCCTAACACCTATAGAGATTTTGGCAGTGGTTTGTCTGAATTCATGTGGAACTTGAGATGGTCAACTTTTAAAACCAGTTTTAATAAGTTTTTAAGTATTTAAAACCTTCATGAGGCGATTTTTAAGAGAAATACATGCACTGGTGCCATTGAATAGCTTAATCTCTTGCAAAGTCAAGCACGAATTATAAGTTTCCTCAAAACAGAAAGTCTTTCAAAGATCATACAGTCATTATATAAAAATCACAATAATATTAATGAAATGATAAGGATATTTACCGTAGGTCCCACGTCAGGGTATTGTTTTGGTGGTGCTGGCTTAAAGAAAGGTTGTGTCGTAGATTCCTTTTAATTTATCAGGTAAGATATTCCCAATTCTTTTTATTTTCAGTACATTCCCGATTACAAGTTTATTGCCATAGTTTTACGGTACCTTTTCTTTTTTTCCTTTTTCCCTTACTGCACAACGTAACTATAAAGTTACATAACCCGAAGGTATGAATGTACTTATCACAATAGTAGGCGCGAAAGTTTGATTCAGCATTCCTACCAATTGTCCTTTGTGCTGTACTGCAATATATATATATATATATATATATATATATATATATATATATATATATATATATATATTATATATATGTGTTGTGTGTGTGTGTGTGTGTGTGTGTGTGTGTGTGTGTGTGTGTGTGTGTGTGTGTGTATGTGTGTGCGTGTGTGTTTGTGTACATCTTATATATACATATATACACCAGTATATATCATCTTATTGATACACCAATAGATATCTATGGGGATAAGAGAACACAAAATTAAGATATATACCAGCATCTTTATTGATAAGGATTTCCACCAAATACAACCAAAAACAAAAACAATGTAACAAGAGAGTCTCTTTGTTAACACAAACATAACAAGGAAGGAACAAAAATTAACAGAGTAAAAACACGAAAAAAGACGGTACACACAGGTTCTTCGTCTGTTTTTTTTTTTTTTCCTTAACTTTTTTCTTTACTATAGAGTAATAACTGAACTATGTGAATAAATGTGAACTCACAAAAGTAGAAAAAATAATAAAGATAATAATGGAGAATTTGTTCCTACTTAGACGACGGAAATAATGACTAACAAACAACAAGCAAACAAACATAGGTATCGCTAATAAGAAAAATAGATAAAAAATTATAATTGAAAAAAAAAGCTATACACAAATTTGATTTGATTATGCTTCACCAAAAGTATTTCGAGTATGGTAGTTTTATGTTTCAGAACATTTTGCTATTCATCAGTCGTCGTGAGACTTGCAAACAAAAATAGTGTTGGAACTAACTAATAACCACACGTATTTTGTAAGTATGAAAAGTATTCGTAACGACATTGCACGCAAAATTTAGAGCAGGCCTGTCAAGCTCATTCACCCTAGGGAACCACATTTCACCTTAGTATACAATATGCAGGCTGAGTGATCATGAGGCTTTTTCATTCATCACAAAAACAATAATCGAAAAGAAAACTGATTAATCGTATAAAACGACCGACTGTTAAAATGAAATAGCAAATGGCGGGCTGCTTGTTTGACACCCCTAGCTTAGAGGATGGATGTAAGGGGGGGGGGTAGCAATGGGGAAGAAGGGGAGGGGGGTCAGGGGAGTATGGGAGGGAGGAAGGAGGAGACTAAAAGGAGTTCGGGAAGGGAGGGGAGGAGGCTACATGTGGTAGGGGAGGGAGGGGAGGCGGAGGCTAGAGGGAATAGGGAGAGGAAGTAGGGGAAGATTTAAGGGAGTAGGGGGGATGAGGAAGGCTAAGGGGAGTAGGAGAGGGAGGGGGAGAATTAAGGGAGTAGGGAGGAGGGGTGAGGAAGACTAAAGGGAGGGGAAGCGGAGTTTAAAGGGAGTAGAGGAGGGAAGGGAGACGGAGGCTAATGGGAATGGGTGAGGAGAGGGATACTAATGGGAGTAGGGGAGGGAGGGGAGGTGGAGGCTAAAGGGAGTGGAGGAAGGGAGAGTTTAAGGAGAGTAGGGGAGGGAGGGGGTAGGCCACATGGAGTAGGGAGGGGTGCGGAGGCTAAAGGAAGGGAGGAAGGGATCGAATGAGGAGGGGGGAATCATAGGAGGTAAGCGATACGAGGAGGGGGACGCATAGGGAGGGGAGGGACGGGGCTTCGTTGAGGAGGAACTAAAAGGGACGAAAAATGACGTAAAGGGAACGAGAATAGGGATGGGAGGGGAAGGTGGGGTGTTATGGGGAGGGGAAGGTGGGGTGTAATGGGGAGGGGAAGGTGGGGTGTAACGGGGAGGGAAGGTGGGTGTAATGGGGAGGGGAAGGTGGGGTGTAATGGGAGGGAAGGTGGGGGTAATGGGAGGGGGTGGGGGTAAGGGAAAGGTGGGGGTAATGGGAGGGGAAGGTGGTGGGTAATGGGGAGGGAGCATATGGGAGGGGGAGAAGATCAGCGACTGGGGGAGGAAAGGAGCAAGGAAGGGGAGGGCAGAGCCGGGTGGGGGGGTAGGGAAGGGGAAAATGGGGTGGGGGCAGAAGAGGATCATGGGAGGGTATATGGGGGAAGAAGGGGAGTTTACAAAAATAATCCTAGTTCTTTGTTGTTGCCCCATCATTGCAAACTGTTGCAAAGCGCATTCATCAACACGCGGATGTGCAGGATACTTCTATTCGTTTTAGGCGAAATGGGGACATTGTTGATGCCAATTAATGGAAGGTGATGGGGGGATGGCGGCCAGATATGGGAGGGAAGGGGTTAATGGGGGGTAGCGGAGGCGGGATCAAAGAATGGCAGAGGAGAATAATGGAAGGGTGGGATGGGTAAAGCGAATGGGGTCAGGGAAGGGGCTGGGGGTGGGAGGGAAGGAGCCAAGGGTAGGGGAGGTAGGGAAGGGTCATGGGGGAGGGAGGCAAGGGGAAGGAGGACAAAGGCGATCAATGGGGAGGGTAATAGGAGGAGAGGGAGGGGAAGGGAAGGAAAACGGGGGGGAGGAGTGAGGGTAGGAAGGGGGTAGGGGGGGAAGCAAGGGGTAGAAGGGAATAGAGGAGGGCGACGAAGGCAATGGGAGGGAGGGAAGGAGGGGAGTAAGGGGAGGGAAGTGATGAAAAGATGACAGGGGAGAGTAGTAAAAAAAAGGGGGGGAAGTGGGGTATGGAGGGGAGGGAATGGGAGGAGGGGTGAGAAGAGGAGGGAACTTACGAGAGGGGAGGGAGGGGAGGGAACTTACGAGAGGAGGGAGGGAGGGAGAGGGGAGAGAGGGCACTTACGGAGAAGGGAAGGGGAGAGGTACTTACGAGAGGGGAGGGAGGGGAGGGAACTTAGAGAGGGAGGGAAGGGGAGGAACTTAAGAGAGGCGGAGGAGGGGAGGGCACTTACGAAAGGGGATGGAGGGAGGGTACTTTACGAGAGGGGAGGGAAGGGGGGAACTTAGAGAGGGAGGGAAGGGGAGGGAACTTATGAGAGGGAGGAGGGGAGGGAACTTACGAGAGGGGAGGGAAGGGGAGGGCACTTACGAGAGGGGGGGGGGAGGGGACTTACGAGAGGGGAGGGAAGAGGAGGAACTTACGAGAGGGAGGGAAGGGAGGGTACTTACGAGAGGGGAGGGAAGGGGAGGGCACTTACAAGGGGGAGGGAAGGGGTACTTACGAGAGGGAGGGAACTTACGGAGGGAGGGAAGGGGAGGGTACTTAAGAGAGGGGAGGGAACTTACGAGAGGGAGGGAAGGGGAGGAACTTACGAGAGGGGAGGGACTTACCAGAGGGGAGGGAAGGGGAGGGTACTTACGAGAGGGGAGGAAGGGGAGGGTACTTACGAGAGGGGAGGGAAGGGGAGGGAGAGGGGAAGGGGAGGGAACTTACGAGGGGAGGAAGGGGAGGGTACTTTGAGAGGGAGGGAAGGGGAGGGCACTTACGAGAGGGAGGGAACGAGAGGGGAGGGAAGGGAGGGTACTTTGAGAGGGAGGAAGGGGAGGGAACTTACGAGAGGGAGGGAAGGGGAGGGTACTTTGAGAGGGAGAAGGGGAGGAACTGAACTTACGAGAGGGAGGGAAGGGGAGTACTTGAGGGAAGGGGAGGAACTTACGAAGGGGAGGGAAGAGGGAGGGAAGGGGGGAGGGGGGGGAGGGAACTTACGAGAGGGGAGGGAAGGGGGAACTTACGAGAGGGAGGGAAGGGGAGGGTACTTACGGGAGGGGGGAGGGAGGAAGGGGAGGGAACTTACGAGAGGGAGGGAAGGGAGGGAAACTTACGAGAGGGGAGGGAGGGAGGGAGGGGAGGGAACTTACGAGAGGGAGGAAGGGAGGGAACTTACGAGAGGGGGAGAAGGGGAGGGAACTTGAGAGGGGAGAAGGGGAGGTACTTACGAGAGGAGGAGGGGAGGGGAGGGAGGAGAGGGGAGGGAACTTACGAAGGGGAGGGAAGGGGAGGGAACTTACGAGAGGGGAGGGAAGGGACGAAGAGAGGGAGGAAGGGAGGGAACTTAGAGAGGAGGGAGGGAGGGAACTTACGAGGAGGGGAGGGAACTTACGAGAGGGGAGGGAACTTACGAGAGAGGAGGGAAGGGGAGGAACTTACGAGAGGGAGGGAAGGGGAGGGAACTTACGAGAGAGGAGGGAGGGGAGGGAACTTACGAGAGGAGGAGGGGAGGGAACTTAGAGAGGGAGGGAAGGGGAGGTACTTTGAAGAGGGAGAGAAGGGGAGGGAACTTACGAGAGGGGAGGGGAGAGGGAGGGAACTTACGAGAGGGAGGGGAGGGGGGGGAGGGGGAAGGGGAGAAGGGAACTTACGAGAGGAGGAGGGGAGGAACTTAGGGGAGGGAGGGGAGGAACTTACGAGAGGGGAGGAGGGGAGGGAACTTACGAGAGGGGAGGGAAGGGGAGGTACTTACGAGAGAGGAGGAAACTTACGAGAGGGGAGAGAGGAGGGAACTTACGAGGAGGGAGGGAAGGAGGGAACTTACGAGAGGGGAGGGAGGGGAGGAACTTACGAAGGGAGAGGAGGGAGAGGGAACTTGGAGGGAACTTACGAGAGGGGAGGAGGGGAGGGCACTTACGAGGGGAGGGAAGGGCAAAATAGACGAGGTATGGCACTGGGGGAGAGAGGAGATGAAATGGAGTTAAAAGATTATTGGAAACTTTTAGAAGGGAGCCAAAGGAGGGAAGCGGTTAGGGACCCAGGGAAGAACAATGGGAGGAGGGGGAGGGATGGGGAGGGAAGTACCTGGAGGGCATGAGCTGAAAAAGCAACTGATATTTAATAATAATAAAAAAAACAGGGATAAATAAATAAAAAAAGAAATAAATGAAATAAACAATATTCAATAATTAATCAAAAGACAGGAAATGTGAAAAGTTGTAAAATAAAGTGACTAGGAACTCCTTCTTTTTCCTACAAAAGTGACTAGTTGACTGATGATTGAAATTCAAATTTTCGAAAATTGGCGCGACTAAAGATGGCCGCGAGTTTGATATGACCAGCTGGTCGAGGTGCCGGTGCTTCTGGACTGGCGAAGCTGCGGAGAAATAAACAAAACATTAGTTGCTTAAATAACAACTTGATCAGATAAACAAAACAGTAGTATCTGATTTCAAAACTTAATAGATTCTCATTATACGCACAAACAACACACAGTATATCACAGTAAATTGTATCAATAAAACCATAATTTATATTTCTTGTGTCCCCTACAACTTTTAAGTACTTTCAAAATCATACCAGCATAGAGAAGAAATTACAACCCACAATATATTATTTTCGCTTTTCCCGCCAACTCCCAAGCAAAAGCATACTAATATAAAAGTAAAAATTACAATCCACAAAATATTGTGTCCCCGTTTCCCCCTCATTCCAAACAATTTACGAAATCATACCTAAACCTTTCTGTATTTCCTTCAACTCACAAGATCATAAAGATACAAAATTAGGAAGTACAGTTAAGATATTTCCCCTTCAGCTTATAATTGCCATCGAGGTCATCTATTATAAATGTAGGAAGCGCAATGTACTATTTATTTTTTCCTATTTCCACTTTAATTCTTAACTATTTACGAAATCATACTGATATAAAAGAAGGAATCACATCCCACATTATATATCTCTTTTTTTCTCTCAACTCTGAAATGTAATAAAAAGTACGAATTATAATCCATTTTTTCTCTTCCCGTTCTCGTTTCAAATATTTACGAGATCATACTAAGATTAAAGAAGAAATTCAATCCCACAAAATATTATCTGTTTCCCCCTAACTCTTAACTACTAACGAGATCATACTGATATAAAAGCAGATATCACACCTATAATATATTCTCTCCTAAACGCAATTAAAAAGTAAGAATTGTAATCCAAAATATTTTTCCTCCCGTTTCCCCCTCAGCTCTCAAGTACATATGAGATCATACTAAGATACAAGTAGAAATTAAATTCCACAAAATATTATCTCTCCCCCAAATTCCTAACTACTAACGAGATCAAACTGATAAACCCACAATACATTTTCTTTTTTATTTTGTTTTTCAGCCCAAAACGAAATAAAAAGTAAGAATCACAATCCATGATATTTTTTCCTCCCGTTTCCCCCTCAGCTCTCAAGTACAAGCAGAAATGCAATCCCACAAAATATTGTTTCCCCCTAAGTCCTAACTACTAAAGGATCATATCAATATTTAATAAGGAATCACAACCCAAAATATATTCTTTTTTGCTTCCCCTCAACTTCTAAACGCAACAAAAGTAGGAACTATAATCAAATATTATTTTCCTCCCGTTTCCCTCTGTGTGTGTGTGTGTGTGTGTGTGTGTGTGTGTGTGTGTGTGTGTGTGTGTGTGTGTGTGTGTGTGTGTGCGCGCGCGTGTGATTGTGTGTGTGTGATTGTGTGTGTGTGATTGTGTGTGTGTGTACATAGACTTACGAGATCATACACCTCGAAGGAGCTGAGTTCGGCGACCGGGCTTTCGATTTCCAGCATCCTGTCCTCGGGTTCGGGAAGGGCGTCGTCGCGTCTCGAATTGAGATAGTATTTTCTTACGGTGGGAAGGGTAGGGGGAGGGTAGTGCTTGGGGGTTGGGAGGGAAGTAGACGGGTGGTAAGGGGGTGGGTGCCCAAAGGCCTTCTCCGGGTGGTGGGAAGTACGTGACGGGTTTGTGGGGAGCGTGGGGAGGTGGAGGGGGTGGAGGAGGAGGAGGATGGGAAGGGTGAGGGGGTGGGAAGGGTGAGCGGGAGGCCCAACCTCACTCAGGTGTTCCTGCAGGCGGATTTCGTTCTCGGTGACGGGAGGGAGCTCGAGGGGGAGCTCCTCCTGAGGGTGGCCTCCTCCCCCTTGTGCATCGAGGAGGTAGTACTGCCTGAGGCCTGGGACTCTCCTGTGCTCCTGCTGCCCGTCCTCCGTCAGGTAATACTTGCGCGGCTGACCTGGGTGCACCGAGTACTGCGGCGGCGGTGGTTTCGGAGGCCCTGGGTACGCCTTGGTCACGGGCGGACTCGTGGGGACGTACACGGGCGGCTCCGGCTTGTGGGGCGCCTCGAGGACGTGTGGCTGGACGTCGGGTACGTGTTCGGGCACGTGGGGCGCCTCGTGGACCTGC